TTTTATCCCAGCACTAGACCAAGCGATTTATGCCCGAAGAGAAAAAAAAACCAGGTGCTAGTGCCATGGCTAAGTTGTTCCAGATTTCGTTCCTTATTTTAGGGTAGTAGGCTTAACTTTTGAAAAAAATCCTTGCACACTTTCTAGATTTTCTCCGAACTTTTAAAACCAATTCTGCAGTGTTATATTATTCTCTATTTGCATGCAATATAACTATGGGTTTTTAATGTTGGATTGACTTTTTCCATTTTTGAAATAAACAATTTCTGACTTCTAAGCTTCTAACTTATAATAAATTCTTACTTATAATATAAACTTATAAAATAGCCTAGTTTAATATATTGATGTTTGTATTTTTTTATTATCTGCATTTCAAATTTGGTTCGATTTTCAACTATTTTTATAATGATTTCCAACGTTCCGAAAAATGACTTAAGATCATAATAAGTAAAACATCAACAATTTTTAAAACGCTTAAAAGTCTGGGGCTTTATCCGCGGTGAATTATAAATAACTTAATGTACATTTCTTGTTACATTTGACTCAAATGATAAAAAAAAATAACTTAATCATTTTTTTATATTGAATAAATTTTAGTTACGAAATTCACGGATCTACATCCATTTAAAACTTTTGTTTTTAGGTCGTTGTAGAGCATTTAAGCCTCGTCTTGGTCCTTTTTTTCGGCGACTGCCAATTGAAATGTGTCACCATTTTGTAGCTTTATGCATGCACTGCTCGCTCCGGCGGCTCCATAAAAAACAGCGCTTATCATTCGCTTTTCTGCCGGCCTTTTTGGGAAAGCGTTTTAGCTTAAGCGGCCATTCTTTTCGACAAACTCTCTGCCGCTCCCCATTTTGTGGCCATTTTTGTTAGCTTAAAATATTCTTTTATGCGCTCACGATTTTAATGCGCTTTGGCCATTTTTATGAAGCTGCGAGCCCCCTTGACCGCCTGTCATTTCGTTGGAAATTCATGAAGCGCAGCGCGGTTTTGTAAGCGGAAGACTTAAGCTGACATCATTGGCCAGCGGATTGTGGCGTTCGGGCTCGGATTCGGGTTGGGGTTCAGGGTAAGTATGCAAATGCAATGGCCGAGCTATTTAATTATGTATTTAATACTGCACTTTGCCTAATTAACTTTGGGAGTGCCTTTTGGGAAACTTGCGAGTAGTGAAACCATCTTGCTGAACGCTTTATTTGGCTGCCTCTTTAGGGCGTCTAAACGAGATGAGTTAACCATTTAACGCTTCGATGCGACAGGACCTCAAGGACTTGCTCGTGTCTCCTGTCAGCCATTGTTTATTTATGTTGGGCAAACGCGACTGTGTGCGATGCGTGTGAAATTGTCACGTCAACGGCAAACCAGAGAAAGTCAAAAGTGCGGCAAGACGCCTTGGATTCTGCTGTCTTCAGGTGGCTGGCACCTGCCGTTTGCTTTGACAAGAAATCAAATTAACAGCCCGCAACGACTTGGTGGTGTTCGCCACCTACATTCAACTGCTGAGCACACATTGCTCATACGCCCCGTGGTAGATGGTTTTCAAGTGCTCTACGTGTGTGTCTCTGGGCCCAACCATTGACCTCAATAACCTAGGGTTTGCCAAAGTGGCACTAGTCCCAAAATGACTAGCCCTCTCGACCCTTCCTCCACTCGAATGCATTTTCCCCAGAGCTGGCACAAAAACAGCATCCCATGCAGGCACTCATTTATTCCCGGAAAAGTTTTATTCTGCTCTGACAGTGAATGTTTTGCATTTTGTTTTGCCTTGACCAAATGGGCGAAATTGTTAACTTTACATTTAAGCAGATTACAAAACAAGAGCACAGCAATGGGATGGCTGCTGGCAGGATTCAGTGCTCCCAGGCTGATCCTGTTCATGTCAGGAGCTGCAATGCCTGTCAGCCTTGTGTCAATCATTTGCCACTGCGCCATCCTGTAACTGGCTTTAGTGCGAAGATAATTGTTTTTTGCTGCTCCCCACAGTGAGTGCTGTGTTCCCGGCGAGGCTTTAAATTATTTTGTTTCGCTTTTGTGCAGCTCCACCATCGTCAAAGTAATAAAAAGGGCTTCACTGTGACACTGGCTTAATGGATGTCGTGCTTTGCTCTCAATTGAATGTGACATCGTCATCCTCGTCCCTGCACCACCACCGTCACCACTACCATCCACAATTCCACCGCCAACGGCGATGGCTAATTGCGACCGCCTATTTGAGGCCAAAGCTAATTTCGATTAGGCAAAGCCGCAGACAGAATCAGAAATTTCTGTTTGGCTTTCGGTTTTGTACATTCAATTGCAGTTGCGGCTTACCGGTGAAAAAAATCAAATGAATTCCGAAAACCAAATGGTGTGGGACAGGAAGAGTCAATCAAATGAGCAAAGGCGATGAGTTTTCAACAATCGGAGAAGCTTTGAATCATTCGGGCTTATCCCACACTCTGAAACCCCGTTTTTATATTTATTTATTCTACAAACGAGTTGGGGAGAAGAATCGTTAAAGTGCTTAATCTGTTTAATAAAAGTAAGTTTGCTTGAGAGCAATAACACTTAAAACCAGCAGCAGCTATTGACACTTTAAGAAACATATATTTTTTAATGAAAAATGCAACAATTTAAATGTTGTTTAATTTTGAGAAATAATATTAATATATTGTAGCTAGTTAAAGTAGTTAAAATACAAAAGTTATAACTGTTTACCAGATTAAATACTATTTAATCAAAAACTGTGCCTGTTTATGACATAGGTTTATTGCATTGCCAATTTGTTTCATGTATTTATTCACAGCTCAATAAAAACCAAAACCAAAATTTCAAATTAAAAAAAATATATTACAAATAATCCATAATATCGTTCATATTATAATAAAAACTAACAATAATAATAAAGTATCCAAAAAACAAAGTAAATACAGATTTTGAATTTATTAACAAAAATTATTTTTAGCAGCCATGTGTGGTTTCCGTAGATATCTCTGTCGTAAGTACCTAACCTATTTCAACAGAATTTTAAAATAACTCACTCACACATATCTTGTTACAGTTATTTCTGCCTTGGAAATTTAAAATATCAAAGAATAATTCATGAGAAATATATAGCCGCATTGTTTCATTTGTTGGCAGCAGATAGACAGACATTGGGAGCATCGGTGGTAATGAGTGAAAGCATCGTTGATTAATTTAATTACGTGGCCCCCAGCCGGGCAAAGGCAAACCGCTTCAGAGATTCAATTGAAAAAAATTTTATATTTTAATTGAATTGCATTAAAATTCAATGTGCAATTTAATTATCATTGACAGAGGGATGTTGGCGGGTTCCAAGCATGCCAGCCAATTGATTTGACAGTGGCATCGGCGGACTGCGGCATCCCACATTGCAGACATTGACAACATTGTTGCTGCTGCTACCGTACTTGCAGCTCCGAGTGCGCATCATTTAATAATTAGTAGCCGTGCACCGATTCCGATGGCCAACAAACGGGTAGGCGGCAATAATTGCATATCACTATTTGGTTGCATGCAAATGAGGCAAAAACAATGGCTCTAACGATGCATATTTCGAGCGTTTAATTTATTTTCAGTCTTTTTTTGGACTCATCTACGTCACTCTTCGTCAGATGGGTACATGAAATGCTCGTTAGAATAAGTATGGTTATATCATTGATTGGTATGATTAATTATGACAACGGAGTTAAAACAATCAAAAGAAATTTAAAAGTATTAAATTAATTACAAAAAAGGTTTTGCAAGATGAAATAATTTGGTGCAATAAATCGCTGGCCAAAGAAAGTTTTTTTTTTTTGAAGCCTTTTTAAAACGAAACCCAATTCTCCCGGTTTTAACCCTTTTTTTTTTTTTTTGTGTGAATATCTTGTTGTTTCTCTACATACATATAAAATAAAAAAAAGAGCAATAAAACCGTGTGAAAGTGCAAACTTATGTGCACTTTTGTGTAGCTGCCGTAAATTCCATTTGTGTGGCATGCAAATCCGCCCCAAAGGAGGCGTGGCCAACTGGCATGTTGGCAGGAATTTGTGACTCGATGCTATTGACTGCCTGTGAATATTGGCTGGTGCCGTAGCACATGCTGTGCCGGCTGCCACTTATCACCCAGTTTCCAAGGAAAATTGCTCACAAATATAGGGACCTGGATACGTTTTGCCTCTTGTATTCTTTTAACTCTTTCGAAATGTATTATTTATATTGCAAGTTAAGCACACAGGCCGAAAAAGCATTTTATTGGCCACACAACAAGCGGAGCACTTACCACCACCCGTCGGTCTCGACTCGTTGACAGCTGGAAGCCTTTGAGGGCAAAATCGTATTGTCCTTAATTGCTTTTTAAAGGTCTGCAAGCCGAGCGAATCAACGTCTGGCAACCAGATAGGTATACATGTAAAGAACATACACAGGTGCTGGTGGTGAAGATTGGGGGGGCGGATGCCCATGCAACATTTGTTTCAAGCAATTTACTTCAACATAATCATATTAAATTTTCTCCACCTACTCGTTTAGTCCTTCTGCGCCTGTGTGTGTGTGTGTGTCTGTGTTTGTGGGGGCGTGCACATCGTTTTTGTCTAGTGTCTAGGACTTGCCACCTGGACTCCAGACTCGTCCTGTGTATCTCGAAAATTATACTTAAAAGCTGGGAGCGTCCTCCGCACTTACACATACAAACATGCGTCTGCCTCTGTTACACACACACACACACGGTTGCAACGAGTCCTTTTTATAGTTGCTCTACGGCAGGACGACCGGCGGTGTCCTATTCTGACTCTGGTGTGTTTATTTTCTTTTTTTTTGTGTTTTTCCTGCACCATTCCTGCTTTGCCTTGCCCAGGTCGTTGGCTTTTTGCCTCACATGGGGGCGTTTTCATTTCCTTGCCGGCGGCAGCCAACATGCAACATTCCTTCCCGGTTCCTGCTCCAGCAGAAAAGGTACTACAGCAATTATAATTTCCTTCTAATTTCATTTGCAATAAAGTAAAAGGCCTCGCCACGGCTTGAGTCATGCGGTGATTATGCAAATTCGCTGAAATCCATTCGACACACCCAATCTCTTCCGCAACTCATGGTTGGCAAAGATCATTCCCTGCGAAAACTCGGCCATGGAGGTCTACTGGTTGCTTCTCCTAAGTAAGTTAGTAAAATATTGATAACCGATCCCGCCTAAGCCCACTTTTTCAGTATCATATTTAGGTGCTGTGCAGGGCAATGCGAACTGTTCGATGTGCACTGCTTGGGTAGACGGTCCAGTTTGTGGCTATAATCAACGATGCTACACCAGTTTCAAGAGCTCCTGTGAAATGGAAATGTTAAATTGCAAACTACCGGACTCGTACAGTAAGTGATAGCATAAATTTAATAAACTACTTAGGTAACAAATTCCCTATATTTTGTTTTAGAATTTGAAGAGACGCCATTCTATGGCCATTGCTTCAGATCCACTGTACAAAAATGCAAGGCCTATGTTTTGTTAGAACAGCTGGATAAAATAAACAACTCCGTTGAAATGTTCGCCTAATTGCAAGCCAAAATAAATTTACAAATCTACAATTTGTTAAGAATTTTTTGGTTGGAAAAATTAGCATGAATTATTAGCAGCAAATATAGCCAAGGCCAGATTATTGTTACATATGATTTAGAGTTTTTTTCGGTACCTCATTATAAAAAGTAATTATTCCAGCATATTAAACAGGCAAATTAAGTGGAATATTATTAAAGAACAATTTTCTGAACCCTGACTCCAGTTAAGCCTCTTTTAACTGCCATAATAGTTCACCAGTGAATGAAATATTCAACTTATGCATATCAGGCAATTTAACTTCAAAAGGACGGCAGTTCCTTTGTGGCAGCGGGATGCTGAGAGCTCGTGGTTGGCCAGAAGTGCAGAACGGCCATTAATATGACCCGCTTTTTTGCAACCTTTGCTTTTAAAACAAACAGCATCAGTAGCAACATAAAGAGGAATTGCATCAAGCATATAAATGGATAAACATTTATTGCAGTTTATTGAAAAATTGGCGGTTATCGAACACAGAAGCGGAGCAGTTGGGATACCAGAACGGAAAAATTTGCCCGACCGTTAAGCGTTTTAATTTCACACAAGAGACGAAAAGTTGAATGCCCTACGTTCAGTTGGTTAAAGACTATGAGCTATACATTTTTTATGGGCAATGACATTTATTAACTAGCACTAACATATATTTTTCATTGACTAAATGAATGTTTGCGTTTATTTTTTTAAAACCACTTTGGCTAACATATTTTAAAAAATATAAATAACATTTTTTTAATTGTACAAGTCATCGGTTGTACTTATTTTAACATTTTTACCATTACTACTTACGTAAAACAAATAAAATAAAATCCTATAATTCCCTTTTCAGACATTTAATGACGGCTGTTTGTAGAACTTTGCCCCGATTTGCTTGGACAACTATAATTATGATTAAGCCAGTCTAGAAATTATTAAAATTATCCTGCATGTCGGAATCCGAAGGGTGCCCCATTATCCATTAGCTCACTTTACATATGTATATTCATTCAACCATTTATATTTGTGTTGCGTGCCTGCACTTTATGGCCACGCAGACCAGACACTTGCCGTGGCAAACGGGCTGCAGCAGTAAATTAAGTCGTTAATATCTTGTTTATCATGGCCTCCACTGACCATTGGCCATTGGCCATGGGTCGTTGGTGGCCATATGTTGACCGAGGTCTCGAAACGGCCCCACGTGACTATGCGCCAGTTAATTACATGATTTATAAGCATAAATATATGCACTGAGCTTGATTTATGAAATTAATTATTACGGAATTTACCGGCCACATACTGTGCTGGGTAAAAATATAGTTGCATAACCCATAGGCGCTCCGAGTGCTAATCACTTTATCACTTGCAACAAATTCAACCAACGCGCTCACGCTCACGCACACACATAAGGATAATTTAATTTTATTGAGCCAGGCACGAATGAGCTGCTAGGATACGTATACATTAAATTGGTATATACTATATATATAGAGATGGCCGCCCACTTTTCGCCCATTCCGGCCAACTACTAACTCATTATAACTGTTTTATTGGCAGTTTGCGCGGGAAACTACGGCAGCAACTGCGTTCTCCGTTCTCCTTTCGCCTGGCTTGTTTCATTTACACTCGCTGCCTGAATTACTTTATTAGTCTAATTAAATGCGCCACTTGTACGCAAAATGGCATGCGGCTGCTTGCTTCCAGCAAACAATTAATGAAATTAGCGAAACTGTTTTTTCTGGCCCACACTGAATAGAATTCCTTGGCACCCACTCTAATTAGATTAATTAATTGCTGCGTTCTGCTTTCGATCGGATGCGTCGAACGGATAGCCATAATCCTGGCCAGCTGCAACTGCTGATTTAACATGACACATGGCGAGAACTGCCAGAAACACCTGCGAAAGCGGGACAACCCGAATCTACCCATCCGCCCACAAAGCACCGCCACATTGCCACATCCGATGGCAACGCGAATGCGACGACATCGGCGATTATGGCTCCGAAACGGAAACAGGAACCGCTGGAATCGCGACACACATGCGGCCCAGGAAGACATATATAGCCGGGGGATTATGTCTGCACCGTGGAATCGCAGAGTGTCAGCCCGGCTCATATACTGTACTGCAGAACCAGAGCCGCTGGCTAAACGTAAGCCAGAAACTCGCACACACAAGTAATTCCCTTTATACTTTGCCGGCAGCCGTAAGTTTTCAAATATTTACACATATGCGAGAGTCGCCACTGTGCTGGTTTTTAAATGCAAAAAGCAAGGGAGAACTTACAACAAGCTGGTCGAATACTGTTTCCTCTGGGCCCTAACTTTTATTACATCGCTTAATTAAGAATTTTTTAGCAAGTTATTTTTATTGATTTTTGTTTTGTTTTAACGAAATGTTTAAGTATTATTATTATTATTATTTGTATAGCGAATTCAAAATTTGCAGTACAAAACGTACTAAAAACAAACGATAATTTTCAGTTCGGAATTTATTTCATTTCATTTTAATTTAAAAAGGCTGGTACAAAACTACACCAAGGGCGAACATTTAGATTACATTATATCAAATGTGAAGTCGTTTTAAGATTTTTTATTATAAATGATAAAATAAACTAATTAATTTACAACCTTTTAAATATTTTCCAAAACAAGTTGTTACATTTGTAAAGCCTAAAGCTTTGGCTTTTGGGTGTCAGTTCTTTTAAAATCCCTCAGAAAATGAGTTCAATTATTTTTAGAGCCCTGCCTTTAATAATCCCCCCAACTTGTCAGGAGCACTTCCGATTCGTAGGCCCTCTGTTCGTTTTAATAATCAAGTCAGGTAACTTTATCTGAACATAAATTCGCACTTATGAGGCAAAGTACAAAAGTTTGGTAAGCCCCAACACTATCTGCAATCGACATACACACACACTTTCGGTCGGAGAAAGGTGCGGCGGCAGTCATGAAATATTTTTGAGAAAACAATTTTGCAGCCAAACAGCTCTCTGGCACTGGAAAAACTCGACAATGCTTCCAACTATGTAACTTGGTTAATCCTATTGATTTTGATTTGCATACAAATTAGAATCTGCACAGCCACACTGGGCAAATGTGGAGCGAGGAATGGGGAGTTTGGGAAGTCAAGAGCTCTCCAGCCAGTTGGTTAGCAATCTGCCAAGGATTTCAAACTAAAAACTCTGCCAGGCTGGCTGCTGGAGGTGGGAAAAAGTGTTTAACATGTGTACGAGTACAACCATATCCAGCACAGCAGGGGCTTAAGCTTCTTATGCCCTGGCATTAAATTTCAATTTAAGCTGGACGCTTCGAAGGCGAACATTGGGGTTGGCACTGTAGAAGGACTTTGGCATTGTGCTCGGAAAGCGACGAAGTGCGAATGCTTTGTGAAACAATTAGCATCTTTCCTAATTGTTACTAGAGCGTAGGAGCGGAGTGTGGGGATCCATGTGGAATTGAATTTTAAAACATATTAATGGAATAAACCGAGCTTGAGGAGATGGCATTCAATTTTTAATGTATTTACTTTTGCAACCCATCAATATTCAGTGATGAAAAAGGAGGACACATAATTCACCGCAGTAAAATTAAGGAACAGTAGCTAAATAAAACATTGTACGAATAAATTTAAACGATTTTTTATTTAAGTTTGTAATATTTAATTTTTTATAGGCTTTTAATCTAACCCAAAACTAAAATAGTAGCTAAAATCAAGGTAATTATTATTATTAAATATTTTTAACTGTGTGTTATGCCGGTATGAATTTATAATTTTTAAGTTAAAAAATCAATGAATTTCTGGTACATCAAAACTAGTACTCGCCATCACTGTCGATATTTGAGCAAGGGTGCGTACCACAAGTATTAAAATGAAATTTAATGCGGCGCAATTACTTTCTCAGATCCGTGCTTCGCGTGAGTATTTTAAATATCATTTAATATTTCATTACTGTCTGACAGCTGGCACATATGGTTCACGTGGAGGGCGGTGAGACTTCTCGGCAAGGAATTTCAATTAAGATTAATTCGCGCATGTATGGCCGGGTCTGCGGCACCTTGAGCTGGGAATGCTGATGAAATTGCCAGGTGAAATCCGGGGGTGCCAGCCCGCTTTTTGGCACCTTCCATGCCAGCCAGCCGCCGCGGTTTCTTTTCCCACTCGACTGCACTTGGGGCCACGCCTGAGCGGCGATGCGTTATGAAGATGGCTGCGATGGGATGGGGTTTCCCCCAGATGGAGAGCTTGAGGGGCACCAAATTGTGCCACTTAACGGGTAGCAGCAAAAGCCAAAGGCAGCGCAAAAAAAAAAGAAGAAGAAAAGGAAAACATCAAGCCAAGCCGCAGCAGCACAGCAAAGAACAACAGCAACAAATTAAAATAAACTTTAATCAGGGTGGGCAAACAAGGACGAAAAAACTGAGTGCCAAAGTAAATGCCGGCAGGGCACTAAGTGCGCCGTTTCATCATCGTCCTGGAACCCTCGACTTGTCATCGCTAAAGCGCCAACTGCAGCTGCTGCTGCTGCATCACCATTGATAACTGGAGTGCTCGACGGGCAGTAAATATTTTTATTCAAGTTAATAACGTTGCTCTAGTTGGCAGCTTTGGTTTGCCGTTTGCTGTTCAACGTTCAACGTTCGCTGTTTCCTTTCGGGTTTTGCTTATGCAGCCAGCCTGTTTACGGGCCAAGTCCTTGCCGACGTCTATTTACCAGCACTGCAGTTGTTTACTGAGGTTTCCATCATCCGTTCCCTATCTGGGCGCCTCTGTTTGTTCATTAGCCGCTCGGTCCATGGTCCACGCTCCTTGCTCCATGGCAAAAGCTACAAAAGCAACAAAAGCAACAGCAACAGCAGCGGATACATTTTTACTCGTCGCTTGTTTTATGCGGTTTGAAATAAATTGCCAGCGAGCATCATTTCCGCTTCCCTTGCCGCCCAGACAACCGCCCAACCCCGTGATTAAGCAGCAACATTTTTGCTCACTCATCAGTGAGCACTATGCGCACTGAAAAAAACAATT